TACAAACTTTTTTTTTTTACGCTCTGACCGCAGACGGAACGGTTAAGGAGACCGGCGGGGCTCGAGCGAACCACGCCGCACGCAACCGTCGAAGCTTATTCCAAGTCGCGCGGCGCTCGAGAAATCCACGTAATTACATGACGCTCGTAAAACTTCTTTTTTTTTTAATATTGGCCGCCTATGAAAACGACGGGCCGTGGCGTGACGCTCGCGGGATATTCGTTCCTATTTCCATTTCTCTCCGTGGCGCGTTTATTTTCTCGTCGGATACGTCTATCGGTGTATCGGTCGAGTCCGCGGAGGCTCGAAAGTGTGCAAATAGAGCGAGTGAAGGGGGTTGCGGGCCACGGTGGACGAGAGCTCAACTTCCAACTCTTGTTCTAAATTATAGCGCGTGCCATTGGCGAGGAACGGTTAAATGCAATTGGCAGACCGGCGACACGGCTTGCGAAATGATTTCGGCTCGCTCTGGCATGCTCGGTTTGTCCCAAAAGTTACCGAACTTTTTCTCGTACGAACCGGTACTGGTATTTGTCGAAAGTTGGTATTATTTCCACTGGAGTCTCGTTTGTGACTATGTTCGTTCTCAATATGAATACAAAATGCGATGCCACGAGACGTGTATATATTAGATTGGCCACAAAATAATTTTGGAATTTTTAACGGAATAGAAGTTGTTCGTAACAGTTTCGATCAGAATTTTTCTATATCGGTTTGAGTTCAGATACAAAATAAAATCAGTATTGAATTCTTTCTGTTAGACATATAGAATTCTAGCTAACCACGCGCTCGGACATCCTTCCTGCGCCCGACGCGCCATCTTTGTTCTCTTCCCCCCACCCAACCTCGTCTCTTCGCGTTTGCTCGAACGATCGCGGAATCCCTTTTGGGCAAAAATTTACGGCCACTCTCGACCGCGCCGGAACTTTCTCCGTTTTCCATTTCACGTATTCTTCGGGACGGCCGAGGCCTCTGATTTTTTCTCTCCTTTTCTCCGTGGCTTATTTGCAAGCGATGCCAGAGCCAGAATTCATACGGCCCATTCGAGCATTATTATGCATTGTTACTGCCGGGAGCGACACGAAGGAGCCCGCTTTCAATGCATCCAGACCGTGGTCGTAACGTGGACCGCCATGAGTGTCACGACAGGGATGAACAATGAGCCTACTCCGTGCCCCTTTATTCCCGCCCTGGGCTACTAGTTGTCTGTCTAAAAACTTTCTATACTGTTTTCGTGATAAGTTTCAAATCTGAAGGGGGCTGAATTCCTTGGAGGCTTCGGCCTGACTGATCTTCTACAAACCAATGAACTTGTTGATGCTCGCGTTGTGAGCTGAATATTCCACAGATTTGATCAGATACGAATTAAGGGGGAGATTAAACTCTTTATCGTTTTGTGGGGTTCATCGCTTCCCGTACTCGCCGCCAGAGGTACCGTTCCTCTCGCAAGCGCTCGACCGATCTTCCGTCTACATATACATGATCCTTGACCGACTCTGAATATTCTGGCGTCTGCTAGAATTGCCTCAGTGACGGATGAGTCCCACTAGTAGGCCCTGGGCCCAAACGCTCTCCTTATCCTTCGTCCTTTTTTTATACCATCTAATCTACAGGCTCTCCAAAGTTTCAATTTAAATTTATTTATTAAATTTAATTATTTAGTAAATTTTATAAAAAAACTAGGATTAGATAATTTATACCACTCTTACGGTCCATATTGCGACGTATTTATTTAAATTAATTATTCTTTTTTGGCGAATAAAATTTCTCCCAGCTGGAGGCTATCTCGCCAGCCAAGTGTTGTTTTAATCACGTAACATGTCCGTGAAGTCGAAATCGAAGTCGAAGTCCCATAGATTTGGTATCGCGTAAAAGACCGTGTAATTGCTCGGACGATAGAGGATGCAGATTAGCCTACTCGGGTTACGATGGTCGAGGGAAAGGGGGGGAGGGGGCTGTGCCGTGAAACGAAAGAAAAAAAGACAAAAGAGCTTGGCCTCTGGAGTGCCACGCACCAGTTTTTATGGCGGACACAGAAACAGCTGGACCGTACAAGCGAAAGCCCATTCCATCTCGAAACCGAAATCCCTCCTTAGTACACCACCGCGCGGAGGTTTCTCAAACACCTCGTCCATTCAGCGACGCGCCACCGCTGGCGTTTGTAACCGGCTCGTCCGTTTGATACGAACCGTTCCATTCTTATTTGACTTCTGTTCACGTATCTGTCTCCGCCAACAGAGACGCGGGCAAACTTTTGTTCGAACAATGGACAACTAATAAAAGCAACGTGTAACAATTCTTTTATTTGTTCCTCGTGAAATATTAAATTAAATTATATTAAATTTTTTTAGAAGGATATTAAATATCGCTACAAAGGCGGTTCAAAGCTTGTAGCTGCGCGTTTCTAAAACGCGTTCACGTTTCTAGAGTCGAAGTGATGGAAACCCAGCCGAATAAACTGTATTTGGAAGCGGCGGTGCCACGGATCGGTCAAGCTGCTACGTACTGACGTAACTGCGAATTAATTCAGTTCAAGCAACAGGCTCGTGCCACCGTTGCCATGAGAAAGTTAAGTAACCTGTATCAAGTACCTTTTCTCTCTGCTCGGAACGCTTGGGGGAAAAAATCGGTCGTCTCGGGGAACGCTTTCGAGCGTCGTCGGACTTCCGACACGACTTTGCGGCTCTTTATCAGGCTCAACCACTTCCGTCCTGAATTTTTTTTTTTCGACAGCAAGGAAAATGTTCCCGAGTTATTTCAGACTTAATAAATACATGTGTAAATTTTAATAATCACGACGGTGTTTATCAACAATGTTCGATGATATTTTTCGTACAAAGTAGATTATAATCACAGACTGATAATTATTTTTGTTCTCAAAGTCGGTCAAGATCGGTCTCTCTCGATCTAGACTTATTTGGTTTATTTTATCTTGCTGTTTAAAAAATAAGACGCTGCTCGAGTGGATTCCGAAGCATCGGTTCGAAGAGGCTGGTGGAAACGAAAACTTGAACGCGAGGTTTGCTCGAGGAAATCGTAAGTGCTGGCAGCTGTGATCCCAATGTCACCGTGGAAGAGACACTTCGCCTCCCATAAGCGGCGTTCGTTCCTTTCAAACCAGTTGCGTCCTTTGTTCGACCAAAAAGCAACGACGATGCTCGCATTAACGCGGCAAAACACGTTCCTCTCTTCCCTTCATTAACCTCCTCGGTCTTGAATTTTTTTTCCATGGCTAAAGGAAATATTCAACGCGTGCCTCGAATTACTATAGGCGGTTCGACAAATGCAGTGAGAATTTTTAATTGTTGCAATTACATTTATTGTTCGTTAACAGTAACACCTGGTGATTTACTTTCAAGCGTAAAAATTTATTATTAAATTTTCAATTTCATAGTTCAAAGATTTAACGAACACTCTTCGACATGGTAGCGCGACGTGTTGTTCTTCTCTATTAATTTCACCATGATTCCCTGCAGACAACGTCAGAGCGCGACATGCAATGACAGACACCGAGGAAGCGTCGTTGACGCGGAAAGGAAAAAGGAGAAAGAATGAAAAGCATAATAGAGTTTACATGGCACTCCTCGCGTGCTCTGGGGCGAACGAGACTCAGGGACGTTTTTTTAAGGGGGTCAAGGGGACCCTGCGCCCCGGGGCCGTTCTTATTAACGCTGACCTCTCTGGCTCGAAATTTCAAAATTTCTTACGAAAAGCCCTGACACGTTCTGTTTCCACACCGACTTCATTCCCCTTTTCCGTCACAGATGTTTCCTCTTCTAATTCTCGTCATTTTAACACCCGCTTGCTCCGGACTGCCACGCTAATTTATGGACACGTACCATTTTATCGTACTTTAAACTTGTTTAATAAATTTTACCCATCTTCAATTCACATTCTTCCAAAATCAAAGCGTATCGTCGTATGATTCGCGCATAACCTTAAACTTGCATCCGTAACCGAATGCGTTTAATGGAATATTCCGCCCTAACGTCGGAGGACCGTAATAAACGCGTTCCTTCCTGTTATCAACGCGAATTTAAAGAATCAATTTTGTCGGAGAATTTCAGGGGTCGAGCGTGTGCCTTCACCTGTCGATCATTACGTACGCTAAAAATGGATGGTCGAAGAGATCCGTAGCGAGAAAGGAAACCAACGCACGAAAAGTGTGACGAGATTGCGCCTTGGCGGGTGTTGGTTGTGCACCGGTGTACGTTCGACGGCGATTATTTTTCTCGACTATTGTAACGATCCCCGTATTGTATCAGTTTCACGTCCAGTATTCTCACAATGTCACGATCGTCGTGCGTGATTCCGGCACGACGTCACGGTCCCATTGACGCCGACCCCAGGCCACCTTAAACACCCATAAAACATTTTCGTGACCTCTTTTTCATGTAATTCGACGAACAGAGGCTTGTTCTCCGTTTCCGGTGACATGAAAGCACCGATATCCACCGCCGAGGAGCCTTTCACACGTTCCACGCGTTTGTATACCTATGAATTCGTAAATGTCAGCACGTCTCATTAATGATTTGAATGCCCCCGGTACGCGTCGTTACGAACGCCATGAATAATTCTATTTTATTTCGTCGTCTCGAGATTCTCGTGAAAGCTCTTAAACCTTAGCCACGGATCAGCCGGTGTCGGTGTTCTCGGTGTCGTGGCGCTCGGGCGTTCGCATTGCCAGGGAACGCGAATATCGGAAGATCCATCGCGAATATATTTTTACGCCGCTAAATCGAGAACGTGTGCCGTGTACGCGGACGTTGAGTTTGTCCGTACGATGATGCCTTTCGGCGGTGTTACCGTATGGTAGCATAGTTCATATAATTTTCAAGCAAGCATGCCAGAAAACATGCATTCCCGAGCAGGAGTTTCCTGTAGGAGGGAGCCTTGGGTACCCGGCGGTGAACCGTCGGTTCTAGCACGACACGAGGTCGCGGCTAGGCACGAGTCCCTCCGAAGCGCGCGCGGAAACGTCCGAGGCGTGACGAAAGCGCACGAGGCCGCGGCCACAGGGGTGGGGACTCGCGGACGCTCAGTAGCTCCGCTCAGTCGAGCCAGCGCCGTGATCGGAGTTGGAATAGTGACTGGGGGGACCGTGTTCCGAGCAGGCGTACAAGCTCCCTGCCGTTCTAGTCGTTCCTTCAATCACGCGCGCACGAATCAATTTGGTCGACCGGCGGAGCGAGGTCGAGCATTCGAATCGGTTGCCTCTTCGCCCGTTTATCGTCAGCTCGTCCGTGCCTCGTACGCCGCTATCATTCCGTTCGAGCCGCACCGTTCGTCGATTCTCGGTTGTCTGTTGCGTCCCGACCGTCGTCCGTAATTGACTGTCGCGAAGGCCTACTCTTTCGCGGACCCGTCACAGAGTCACGACAGTGAAAATGCGGTAGTGACAGTGATACGTCGAAGACAGGGGGAAGAAGGGAATCTCTGGGTACGTTTGTAGGCGCGAGGACGCCACGAGTTTGCTCGAGGAAATCGAAGTGAACGAAACAAAATTGGGGAGAGGCTCGTCGAAGCCAGGCCGGAAGTTATGACGAGCTCGTGTGTTCGAGGACGAGAAATATACGCGCATGTGTCCAGTGGGATATAGTGCCGGCGATAAAGCATTCATTCCAGATCTGGATACCTCGCTCTCGACACCTACGGGACCTGGATTATCTCATGTCAGGATGGCGCTGGCGCGGTACGTACTTTCCGCTCGACATCGTTATGCCCCAAGGGTGGGTCTTTGGACGAAAAGCATTTGTTTTTCTTCTCGTTCCTTTGTTATTAAGTGGCTCTATCGATCCGTCGCGACGACCTGCAACGCGAACCGCACCGAAATCTGAACGGGTCGCGATATCGATAATGTTAATCGCGATATTAATGAAAATCGCGTCAAATAGGGCTTTCCGGTCGTGTGTTGCGAGTGTAGTATCATTTTTCACGACGATACCGGTGTCTCTTTGTTTTGAAGTATTCTGCCGCAGATGCCGGTATCTACCATAGAGTGCGCACTGGTCAACGACCCATCCCTGCCATAACTATAGTCACTGATTTAACAGATTTGTACGCGGGTCTGTCTGTATTTGCATGGCTTTCGTGAAACGTTCGTTTCGTCGACGCGATGCGTACCATTGAAGTCGTTATTAATTTGAAAGTTCTTGGTCAAGTCGCTTGCGTGGCGAAGGAAAGACGTCAAGGTTAATACACCTTTTTACGTTGAGCCGACCTTCCTAGTCTGATGCGGGCTCAGTCACGGTTCGACAATTCGCCTTTATACTGAAACGTTTGACCGTGAATATGAGTCGATGGAATTCAAACATAGAAACGTTAACGGCGCCTTGTTTCCCGGCCGAGGACTTCGGACAAATTCTTCCACACGCACGAACGTCGATCCACGCGCCCGCACGGGCTTGAATAGAATATCCCTTTCGAGCAATGAATAATAAACGGTTCGTTATTGGGTTTCACGCATTGTGGTTGAAATAAAATATTGTTTTATTCACGTTCGATCGAAAGTGCGAAGTACATATTCTTTTATTGTAATTAAATGTATTCCGGTATGAGTGACGGCTGAAACACTGGACGTCAAAATATAGAATTCATTTAACGAAATGAAATGTTTGCGATTGTGTACATCGTTGGAACTAATGATTGACGTTGAGCGAGTGTGTACGTTACGCGTTGCGTAAATATTTGTTTTTAAACTTAGGCGCGTTCTCACGTTTTGGTCAATAATTTTTCCAAGGATAATATTTAAGAATATAATCTACAAACGATACAATAACAAAATTCTGAAACGAAAGTACTCTTTGCGATAAAATTTCAAATTCACGTTCCCCCTTTCAGCGCCGCTTTCGTATCAAATAATCCTTTGATACATTTCTTTATTTGTATCGTGGAATTAAAGTTGTTTTGTCGGAGGCGTAAACTCTCAAAATACGACACAGTTTTACTAATTGTTTATTTAAAAAGGAGCAACAGCACGTTCGTTACGAATGTTATTCGTTCACACGGTTATATACCGTTTCGTATGACTTTCTCTGTCAAAGCTTTTTATCAGAGCGATACCACGCGGCCGTAAACAGCCTTCGGTCATATTTATGTTCGCGTACGATCGAATCGTGACGGAACTGGCAATGAAGCTTTTCTACCCAGCTTTTGTGCCCCTTCGAAACAGCGTCGCCTTGTGTACGCGAACCGTCGACAGTTGGAAACTTATTTCTCCTTGCAGCGGGGCGCGTTTATCTCGGCGGCGAGCTTCGCCCTGAACGGCTCTATTGTGATCTTTGGTTCGCTCGAGCCCCGGTGGCGGTCGCGGCGGGCGCGCGAAGAGCGCTCTGGGGGCAGACGGACCGTTTGGTAATTGAATGCGGAGAATTAAACAATCGTGTACGGTCGCGCGTCAAATGGGCGTATACCAGTTTCGCCGATAGACCTCCTCGATGGAACTATTAGTCATTACTTCCTGCTGTGAAGAACGCTATCGGCCAGAGCGGTGAATCACGAGGCTATAAACAGATCTTCGACTTTATAATTGTTCTTTAATGAATGCGGCTCCGGTCGCGTCGTGTGGAACCTCACCTGCTCGATAACCTTGACATTGCTACAGCGAACTTTCGAGCAAAGTTCGCGCGATTCGAATAACCGGTAGATAAAATTACGATTTTAATCCTTTTTAGTTTCCTAGGAAATGAAACGTCGATTTGACGTGATTTTTCGTGACAGTGATCTCTCTCTCTTACTCTGGACGTGTTTACATGGCCAGATAATACCTCGTCGAGAATTCCTCCCGATCGGTTGGCATTTAAAGCGCCACAATATCAGAAAGAAAATTGCTTCGACCGAGATCTGTCCTACACGGGGAACAGCAAGCCCGGGAGTCAATCAATTCGCATCGTAAAGCATTTAATGTAATTTCCCCCGACACTGATTGATGGAGGAACGACGGCCGATTCGCTTTGAGTTATGTTAATTATTCGTAACAGCTTTTACTCCGCGGCTGTTCCATACGAGGAAATAGAGACGTTCGATTTTAACCGCTACCTAATTTTAACCAATTTTTTTTATTAATAATGACGTTGCTCGAAATAATTAAATATAATAATAAATTTGTCAAACAGTTTTTTGAGTTTTTTCGTACTCGATAGTCCGGTTATCGTTGCGGAATATTGCAATATGTGGAACAACGTTTCATGCATCTCTGTTTTTTACCTTTTTTTTTGTTACGCGTTAAAAGCTGCTGGCGTAATTATGAGCACATACGCGCAGAACTGGCAATAAAGTTAAGCGGTTCGTTAAAGAGCCTGGGTGCATAAAAGTTTTAACATAACGTGCTGATTGTCGAGTTAGATGTATCGGAAAAGCTCCGACCTTGCCTGCGCCGTTATCGTGTTTGCGTCACAATATTTTCTCGCTACCAACACACGAAGCCAGAAATCGCTTTGAATGTCGATGGTGTCCTTTATCCCCTCGTGCAGCTGGTCGTCTATCGTTCGCCAGCACGGGATACATTTGTATGCGTAAGTACTGGTCGTGCCTTCGCCTCTAAGTGCGTATCAATCGGCCGTATAAACGCATATCTTGGAATAAAACACCTGTTCCTTTGGAATCATGTCGATCAACACGATTTCTCAGCCCACCCCACAACTCGCAAATTCGTGGAAAATTATCCGGGCTCCCTGACACTTTGACCGATCATAGCTATTACTCTCGAATAAACTATCGATTCCCGGAAATCTCTGTCGTTATCTGGCCTAATATCAAAACCAAAAATCACAGTTTTTCGTGCCACAATATTTCTTTCGATTTAAATTTTATATTTTACAAAAATAAAAACACGATACATATTTAATTTTGGTGAATAGTTTATACTGGATTGCATTTTATTTGCTCGAGACTGATAACTTTAACTTTAACTTTTTCCTCGTTTCTGAAATAACTAAAGAATTATCTCCGCGTATGTTTTTTTTTTTGGTACATTAATATACGATTGTTGTTAGTTATTTTGCAAAATTTTAATTCGATATCAGTGTCACATTGACACAAATACAGCAACAATGCTAATTTTATTTTACTGTTATCTATGCTACTTTGGACATTGCTAAGATTGTATTCGGTGCTTGGCAATTTTATTGCTGCGAGGTTCGTCGAGTTTTTCAAAAATTTATGCAACGAAAGTTTTAGAATTTCGAAACGTTTTCTAATTGTTTGTTATTATTTTATCGCTTATTTGAACGAGTTTGAACGCGTTTCTTAATGAAATTTCGAGTTAATAACGGCGGTTGTAGAATGTGCAAACAGCTCGCGTTAATTGTTTCCGTGTTGATCGCGACAGCAAACAACGTCGATAAGTAAATGTGATCGAAACGACGGTTAATTATAACGAGCAAATTCAGTTAACAACTAGTATACAGCTAATGGTGCAACGATTATTTCTAAGCGATTAGAGACCCCGAGTAATTTAGACACGGTTGATAATTGCCGGATATAACGTTTCAAATATGTGTCTTTAAACGCGCGCGTTTATCCAGTGACAGATTGTTTTCGTTTCGCCGGCGAATTTGCGGACAAAAATCGTTCCGATTTGAGACGTAAAACTCGACCGTCCTTGGCGGCTGCATATTACGCCTCGTCGATAATTTTCCTTTCCCCTTAAGTATGTGGAAACAAAGCGAAAGAACCTTCGATCGATCATTGTAAACATACACAGTTATTCGCTGAACATTTCGCCCTCCGCGACGGAACAATTTGTGTACGTTACGCTCGAGGTCCTCGGTGGCCTAACGGACACAGATACGATAATAATAGAAACCTTTGTTAATGTTCTGTAAATTTCCCGCATCTACACGCGAAAGAAAGTAATTTTATTTCACACGCTATACGAGCTCGTCTAAAACAACGAACTATGTAAAGCAAAAATATTCGTTGAAAATCTTCGATTGATATTTAAAAATTAATATACAGGGTGTTCAGTCACCCGTGGGAAAAATTTTAATGGAGGATTCTAGAGGCCACAATAAGACGAAAATCAAGAATACCAATTTGTTTATGAAGGCTTCGTTAAAAAGTTATTAACGTTTAAAGTTCTGACCGTACTGAATTTTTTTCTCGAAAATGCGCAAGATTTCGGGGGTATGTCTGTTCACCAAAAATGATTGTAATTGACCCCCGCAATCGAAAATAATTTTTCCAAAACGATTTGAAATTTTTTAATTTTGTCGAAAAATTTCAGACTTTCTCGAATTTTTTTCTCGAAAATGCGCAAGATTTTGGGGGTATGTCTGTTCACCAAAAATTATTGCAATTGACCCCCCCAACCGACAATAATTTTTCTAGAACGATTTGAAGTTTTTTTTTTTCGTCCAAAAATTTAGGCACCTTTCCTTTTTCAATTTTTTTCTCGATAGTGCGTAGGATTTCAAAGGTATGTGTATTCACCAAAAATGTTTATAATTAACCCCCGCAACCGAAAATAATTTTTTTAGAATGATTTGAAAAATTTCTCTCGCCGAAAAATTTCAGCACCTTCTCGATTTTTTTTCTCGAAAGTGGTTAAGATTTCGAAGGTATGTCTCTTCACCAAAAATGATTGCAATCGAGCCCCACAACTGAAAATAATTTTTCCAGAATGATTTGAAATTTTTGAATTTAATTGTTAATAACTTTTTAACGAAGCCTCCGTCAACGAATTGATATTCT